TTGTAGTTTTAAAGGGTTGATTTGTCTCTTCTTTTTTGAAGAGTGCATTTATTACTACAAATTGACATCTGATCACTGATTTTGCTGTATCACAAAAGTTTTGATATGTTGCATTTTCAATTCTTGTTTGATTCTAGGAATTTCTTTATTTCATTTTTTGTTTCTTCTATTACTCAATGATTTTAAAAGAAGGTGTTACTCAGTTTTTATATATTTGTTTTTTCCCCCTTGTTCTTCCTTTACTGGTTTCTTATTTTATAGTGTTATGATCTGAGGAGATGCTCTGTATTATTTCAGTGTTTTTTAATTTATTGAGAGGAGCTCTAGTGGCATAGTGGTTAAAACATTTGGCTGCTAACCAAAAGATTAGCAGTTTGAATCCACCAGCAACTCTGTGGGCAAAAGATGAGGCAGTCTACTTCTCTATTAAGGTCACTATGAACTAGAAGTGACTTGGTGGCAGTGGGTTTGGTTTTAGTTTTAGGGTTGTTTGGTTTGGTTTTTAAAATACCTTTATTGTTTGAAAACAATTGATTTCTGTTTTCATATTCTTGTTTTATATGTGTCTTTTAATTTTAATTCCTTTCAAATAACTTTTGGAAAGAGGTAAATTATTAGATAAAAATACACAGCCTCTGATGTATAATTAGCATTCGTGGGATTCAGTGATTGAACTTCAGCCAAATGTTTATGACTCGCACGTTTAATTGAAGTTATGTATATAAATGTGCTGTTTTCCAGGATTTTAGGGTTCTTTCCTAGCATTTTGTAAATAATGTGTGAATTTGTGGGGCCTTTGAAGAGGTAGGAGCTCTGGTGGCGTAGTGGATAAATGGTTTGACTACTAATCAGAAGGTCAGTGGTTCAAAACCCACCAGCTGCTCTGCAGAAGGAAGACTAGGTAGTCTACTTCCGTAAAGATTTACAGCCTCGGAAACGCAGTGGGGGTTGCTATGAGTTGGATACGACTCAATGGCAGTGAGATTTTTTTTTTTTTTTTTAAGAGGCAGGGGCTTCCGCCCCATCATGCATCCTCTCACTTTAGGCAAGTCTTCTGGGGTCACCTTTACTCGCAAGCCTCCCGGCAGCTCTTTGGGTGTCAGTCATGCCAATGCTGGAGGCAGAGGTTGTGAAGAAACATCAAAATTGTTTTTCTGAGACTTTCAGTGAAGGCAGCAGAATGGAACATATTTATATTATTTTGATTTTATTTTATAAAATACAAGCACTATCACAAAGTGCCTAAGTAGCTCTTAGATGGCAGGAATGAGGAGCTGTGAGGAAGCCCAACAGGCCTGTTAAGGGCAGGCTGAACAAAAGCTGTCTGTGCTTTAACGATTGATGTAGTGGTAACAAAACGTTCCCTGAGTTGAAGAGATGGGTGCTGACAGGCATATTTAGACAGGGAGCAAGTCTCAAATTCCTAGGTTAGGGTATCAGATACCAAAACAGGAACAGAAAAAAAGATTTCTAGAATAATAAAATGACATAGCTACATCACTAAATAACTGGTAATTATTACTTAGAATAATTTAAAGATGGCTTAAAAATGGGCATTGTCTCAGAGTAGAGACTGTTTTCAAGGAATTGTCATCCTTCACTTCTCCCAGTAAAATGGAGACTCTTCAAGCATTTATTCAGGTCACTTGCCTTATGTCCAGCTGATCCTAAGCTCTGTGGGTGGTGAACTGGTGTGACCTGGCTTCCTGGCAGTTATTAGTCCTGCTATGACTAGGCTTTGGCTAGACTGTTGAGACGCCATTTAGAGGTTAGGTAGGCAGTGAATATGGGAGATAGGCAGCTTTTTCCTGAAGTGAATCAACATATTTATTAATATTTTCATGAGTATGATGCCACCTTCTTGGGTGCATGCTTACTGTGTAGCTGCAGTTTGTCAGATTTCGTATTCTCAGACATACGAATTTATTCAGGTTGTGAATAAATGCTGTAGTGTTTGTTTCTAAGGTGAATCTCTAATTTTTCAATGGCTATTCTTAGGTTAGGAATGTACCGGGAAGCAGAAAAACAGTTTAAATCAGCCCTGAAGCAGCAGGAAATGGTAGATACGTTTCTCTACTTGTCAAAAGTAAGTAAATATTCCTCATTGAAGTGATGTTTGTTTTTTCAGAACAAATGTTGAAATTCTGGCCAATGCCAGGGGAGAGTTGCCAATATCTTCAGAAATATTTGGAAAGTTACTATGTTCAGATTTGACTGACTTGTTTATAGCGAGCGGCAAAGTGAAAACATGGAGGGTAATTATCTCAGGAGAAGTGGATTCATGAAAAATGAGAATGCCCCTTTGAAAGATTGCCTGTTAGGTCAGAAGAAAATGCCACAAACTCACCCCCAGAGGTGACAGGCCCTGGAGAGGCCCTGTCGTCTGCAGCAGCCTGGTCTCCCACCTGAACAGGCTGTAGAGGTTGGGGATGTCTTGATATAGGTCCTTGATTTCCCCACTCTGCCATATGAATGAGAACCGTATTTCCCCTTCAGTGAGCACCTATGTGGCAAGAGGTGTTGTATCAGGCCTGTTCTATATGCAGTTAATTTAACCCTCATGCCAATCCTGCAAAGCAGGTGTTACCATTTTCTTTGTAATTGGAAGGAAAATGAGGCATGGAGAGATTAAGTTTTGAAAATTTATCCATGTTCAGTATTTTCAAGGTTCATCCATGTTGTATGTATCAGGACCTCATTTCTCTTTAAGGCTGAGTTCTGTTTCACTGTCTGTATGGACCACATTTTGCCCATCCATTGATCTGCTGCTAGGCATTTAGAGTGTTTCTGCCTTCTGGCTTCTGTGAATCGCTGTGCAGTGGATGTTGGTGTGCATGTTATCTGCTTGCATTTCTGCTTCCCATTCTTTTGCGTATCGACCTAGGAATGGAATTGCTGTGCTTAACTTTTTGAGGACCTGCCACACTGTTGCCCACAGCCAACCCAGGTAGTTTTTGACTCCCAAATCTGTTTCCCCAGCCCAGACTTTCTTTAGTTTTCTAACATGTCTTAACAAAATTTGTTTTCTCCCATTCTTCTTTTCAGCAAACTTTATCCTTTTCCTTCCTCATCTCAGAGAGTGGCATCATCATGTCCCCACCCACCAAAGCTATAAATCTTAGTCACATCAAGTCCTATTGATTTCACCTCTTAACTCTCCCTGAAAGCCATTCGTTCTGTTATTGCCTTATTTTGAGCCATTTTCATCTTTTGCGATCTCAGCAGCCTTCCATTGATTTATTTTCATTGCCTTTTCCCATCCTTTCTCTCCTACACATATACTGAGTTTTCTTTTTAATACACACATTGAACATTCAGTGTTTCAACTGTCTTAATAACAGCTTTATTGAGAATACAACTCAATAAATAATATTAAATAATATTCACCCTCATAAACCACACAGTTCCATGATTTTTAGTATATTCACAGACTTGTGCAGCTATCAACACAGGTCCAGTTTTTAATATACAAACCGAACCTGCACTTCAGCCCCCTTACCTATAGTATAAAGTTTAACTTATACTGGCCCAAGCCTATCTTTGTCCTCCTCTCTTGGCATGAAATTCAGGGACTAACCACATGCAACAGTAATAACAGTAGTTGACGTTTGTATCATTTGATCTTCAAGTGATGGTTGTGAAGATTTTTTCCATCTCTTAAACCAAAAACCAAACTTACTGCCATCAAGTCAATTCTGATTCATAGAGACCCCCGTTGGATTTCCAAGGCTGTAAATCTTTATGGAAGCAGACTTCCTCATCTTCTTCCCACAGAGCAGTGGATGGGTTTGAACCATTGACCTTTTTAGTTATGAGTGAACTGCCTTAACCACTACACCATCAGAGCACCTTTTTCCATCTCCTAGATGAGGAAAATAAGGCACAGAGAAGAAAAATAACTTACTCAACCCTGTACAGCTGGTCTGAGTTGGAGTGGGGATTCTAACTCAGGCAGTCTGTTTTACATGCTTTTTTTAACCTTGGCAGTGCTCTTCTCTGCCTACTTTCTAGCCTGGCAAGTAGAGCTGTGGACTCTCTGGCCTCTTCTAGAGCATTTTTTACTCTGTGTTGGAATCATTTGTTCTACTCATTCTTCTCCTGGGTCAGCTGAAAGAGCAGGAACCTGGCCTTACGCACCTCTGTGTTTCCAGAACCTTGTAACGTATGTGTTGCCTAGTAAGTCCACAATAAACATATGTTGAAGTAAGAAATGCATGAGGTTCCATATTCAACATGTGGAAATAAAACTATAACCTCACTATTGGAAATGACTCTTCCACATTTCTCAAATTTTTTTACTCTAATTATTGAAGAGATAATTTGTTGCTAACACTTGTAATTAGAAACTTTTTGTAACAAATGCTGTTACTTTCAGAAAGAATCATTTTTATTAAATGTCTGTTGGTTTTAGGTTTACATCTCGCTGGATCAGCCTGTGACTGCTCTGAACCTTTTCAAACAAGGTTTAGATAAGTTTCCTGGTGAAGTAACTCTACTTTGTGGGATTGCCAGGGTCTATGAGGTAAAGTACCTACTATTCAGAAGATTGATGTAAAATTGAAGATATGTGCTGCTTGTGAAAGCTTAAAATCCTCAGGGTCCTAGCCAGCAGGAAGATGATTTATGAAGTTGTGATTGTTGGCCGTAGATTACCATGTGAGTAAGAGATTTTAGTGTACATATTTTATCAAATTAAGTTTTTATTAGGAAATATTTCAAACCCACAGAAGAATACAGAGAATGGTATGAGATAGGGATGTAAATGACTTCCCTCTTCCCTGTGTGGTTGGCTAGTTATTTCACCAGCTATTGATCCTTTTCTCAAGGTCTGTTGTGTCAGATACCAGTTTTTCATATGTAGTAGATTTGCTTTGGGGCTCTTTATTGTTCTCTTTGTCTCTCCTCATCAATA